CCCTTACCCACATGTGAGCAAGGATGTTGACTTCAAACATTTTTTCTATCTGGTGGTCCTGAGTTGAGAGCAGGTCGGCAGCTGTGATCACACCAGCGTTGTTCACCAGGATGGTCACATCCCCAATTTCCTTTTTCACCTTTTGAAGACAAAAAAAAAGGCCCAGAAGTGTGTCTGTCATTCATTCTATAATAACAAAAACAAATAAAAAAATGCAAGGCTGCAGAAGATGAGCAAAAATTCATTTATTTCTTAGCGCTGTGTCTTTTAGGGAGAGGAAGATCATAGCACCTTTCCAGAAGCAGCAGAAACTCTGCAGTAATTACCATGAGATCTCACTTAGACCCAACTCTTTCCCTTAAATAATTACTGCCAAAATTGATTGCCTTCCACACACTGTACACAGACACAGTTTGGACTGAGTAGTCACAGCTGGGACTATAGAGGTACAGACAGTTTTGAGCCAGCTGGACCATAACCTTTACAATAAAATGTTTCATATGTCCTCAGTGCTGTCCGTGTTTCTCCAGAGGCTGGAACTCTCCAGGGCAAACTTGGCAATGAGGAGTAATACCCTGGAGCCTCACTAAAGGGTGTTATCTCAGAAGTGCCTCATCACTCTGTGTACAGAGAGCAGCAAGGAACGTGGAGGTTCCAAGGCCTTGCATGATTTGTGTGCAATGCCTCTTCTCCAGTTTTCCCGACTTTACTGGAAATGAAGTGCATTTGGGTGAGCCCCTGTCCATGCCCCTGCTGCCCTACCTTGTCTGCAGCGCTGTAGATCTCCTCCCGTTTGCTGCAGTCCACCACGAAGGCTTCAACAGTGGCCCCCAGACTCTTGCATTCTGCTGCCGTCTCCTCAACGCCGTGCTGGAAGGGGCAGAGAAGAAAGACACCCGTGCACAGCTGTCCCTTACCCATGTGTTGCTGCTGCTCAGGACACACAGCAGAGCAGGTACAGGCTGGAGGCGTCTCTTAATTCTGCAAACACTGCCAGACCCCGTACCTACTGAGGGATAAAGCTGTAGGTGGGCTCCTTGAGAAGACAAGTATTCCAGTCTTAAATTTTGGACCTGCCTAGAGGGACTGCCAGAAAGGCAATGTGGCAACAAGAGTGAGTTTGCCTTGGTAAGGCACACATAACTAGTCTGCAGAAAGTGGGCACACAGTGCCTATCACAGCATAGAAGGGAGACACTGTGAGTGTAAACAGAGCTCTTTAAACACAGGCCTGTCTGACACCTGAGATATGAAAAGTGGCTCTATGTGTTTCTATGTATTCACAGAGTGGGTGTAAGAAAAGAGGTGTCTTCCACAGTGCAAAATGACATTTCAAGAATAGCATCTGACACACACAGAACAGAAGCTTCCCTAAGTCAACACACTAAGCCAGGGCAGAAGTGACTTGGGTGTAGCCTTGTCCCCAGGTGCCAGGGGACCTGTGCAGTGAGAAGCCCCAGGTCACAAATAGCCTGAGACAGCACCTGACATTACCTGTGCAGGTCCCTGCAGTGGGTGACTGGACAGCTGCTCTCAGTCCTGGCTGCTGCTTGAGGCTGAGAGCCCCCAGGAAGGGGGCTACCCGTTGGATTGGAGAAGCATACTCCTAAATCCTCTGCAATCCAGCACTCCTTTGGTATCGTATTTCAGTTGCTCTGTACACCCACTCTTACAATCTATTTCCCAGCAACAAAGCCAGGTGTCGCTCGCTACTCAACTTATTCCGTAATACCCACATTTCATCCAGAGAACACGGACGATGCTCTACTCTGCAGCCCCGTACACATCGGGAGAGCAGTGCCGTGCCTCCTCCACCCCTCCAGTGTCTGGTCTTAGCCATAATGGCAACATGAACAGACACTGAAAATGTTCTACAGTATCTTCCCTGTTTATACATCCCCCTATCTTCGGCTTGTTTTGGATTTTGTGGCGTTTTCTTTGTTTGGGGTGGGCTGCGTTTTGTTTTTGCAGCTTCAGGACGACAGGATAAACTCCTCTCCTGACTCAGTGCGTCAGAAACCTTTCCTGCTCTCTCTCTCTGCTCTCCAGCCTCTCACCCTCTCTGTACAGCTGGTTGCACCTACACACACTTGGCCTGTATCCCTACTAACTGCCAAGCTGCATGCTTGTACCTGTCCATCCTCAGGTCTTGGTCTTTTGGAAAGGTCTTTTTGCATTCCGGTCAAATTATCTGAATCAACGGGGCCAGTATGAACATCCTCTAAGGAGCCATCTACACTTGCAGCTGTCCCAGAGGGCAGCAGGGCTCACACACAGCTCAGCACAGCAATGCTGTTCATTTGAGTAAAGAGAAAACACACCTTGAAGCAATATGAGCAAAATGCCTGAGGCCAGACAGACCCAGCAGAGGCAAACCTGCTCCTCTGGGGAACCAGGCTGCTGCTCTCAGCCCGCTCTGCCCGCCAGCCCGGGCAGCGCTTCCAACAGCAGCTCTCCGAGCGCTTCCTTCCCTCTCGCAGGGACTCTGCCAGGCGGTGCCTGCTCCCTCGCTGAGCAGCACCGAGGAACTGTGGGACCCAGAGCCCTCCATCCTCCGCTGCCA